TATATTATATATTATATATTATATATTATATATTATATATTATATATAATGTATTGTATCATATCTGTTATACTATATTATATTATATATATTATGTATTATGTTATGTTGTATTATGTATTATATATATTATATATTATGTATTATATATTATATGTTATAATGTACTATGTACTATGTATATATACTATATACTATATACTATATATTATATATAATGTACTGTATCATATCTATTATATTATACTATATTATATTATATTATTATATTATAATTATTCTATTCTATTCTAATATATATCGTATATGTTATATATCTGTGATGGAGAACCTGTGGCATGCGTGCCAGAGGTGGCATACAGACCCATTTGTGCCGGCAAGCGAGCCCCAGGCAAACTTACCTCACTGCGCATGCGCGCGCCTCCCAGCTGATTTTTGGCCCATTTGAGGCCTTTTTCCGCCTCCCAGAGGCTCGACGGAAGCCTCAGCAGCCTTTGGAGACCAAAAACTAGGCCTGTTTCATCACTTCCTGTATTTCTGGAAATACCGAAAGTGATGAAGCGGGCCCATTTTTCGGCCTCCAAATGCTGCAGAGGCTTCCCTCGAGCTTCTAGGAGGCCGAAAAAGGCCTCAAACGGCCCGAAAATCAGCCGGGAGGTGCAGTGCAGGTAAGGGGGTGGTTTGGGGTGTGTGGGGGAATTGCACACATGCGTAGAAGGTGTGGGAGCTCCACACATTGCACACGTGCAGTTTTTGGCACAGGAGCCCAAAAGGGTTAGCCACCACTGTTATATATCATATATTATATATTTATTATAATATATAGTGCATTATTATATATCATTATATATTTTACATTATACATGTAGTATTATACATGTATTATATATTATACACTGCTCAAAAAAATAAAGGGAACACAAAAATAAGACACCCTAGATCTGAATGAATGAAATATTCTTATTAAATACTTTTTTTATTACATAGTTGAATGTGCTGACAACAAACTCACACAAAAATTATCAACGGAAATCAAATTTAGCAACCCATGGAGGTCTGGAAAATTAAAGTGGAAAAAACACTACAGGCTGATCCAACTTTGATGTCATGTCCTTAAAACAAGTCAGAATGAGGCTCAGTAGTGCATGTGGCCTCCACGTGCCTGTATGACCTCCCTGCAATGCCTGGGCATGCTCCTGATGAGGTGGTGGATGGTCTCCTGAGGGATCTCCTCCCACTTGGACTAAAGCATCCCCCAACCCCTGGACAGTCTGTGGTGCAACGTGGCCTTGGTGGATGGAGCGAGACATGATGTCCCAGATGTGCTCAATTGGATTCAGGTCTGGGGAATGGGAGGGCCAGTCCATAGCATCAATGCCTTCATCTTGCAGGAACTGCTGACACACTCCAGCCACATGAGGTCTAGCATTGTCGTGCATTAGGAGGAACCCAGGTCAACCGCACCAGCATATGGTCTCACAAGGGGTCTGAGGATCTCATTTTGGTACCTAACGGCAGTCAGGCTACCTCTGGCGAGCACATGGAGGGCTGTGTGGCCCCCTAAAGAAATGCCACCCCACACCAAACTGGTCATGCTGGAAGATATTGAAGGCAGCAGAATGTTCTCCATGGCGTCTCCAGACCCTGGCATGTCTGTCACATGTGCTCAGTGTGAACCTGCTTTCATCTGTGAAGAGCACAGGGCACCAGTGGCAAATTTGCTAATCTTGTGTTCTCTGGCAAATGCCAAACGTCCTGCACGATGTTGGGCTGTAAGCACAACCCCCACCTGTGGATGTCGGGCCCTCATACCACCCTCATGGAGTCTGTTTCTGACCGTTTGAGCAGCCACATGCACATTTGTGGCCCGCTGGAGGTCATTTTGCAGGGCTCTGGCAGTGGTCCTCCTGTCCCTCCTTGCACAAAGGTGGAGGTAGTGGTCCTGATGCTGGGTTGTTGCCCTCCTACGGCCTCCTCCATGTCTCCTGATGTACTGGCCTGTCTCCTGGTAGCGCCTCCATGCTCTGGACACTATGCTGACAGACACAGCAAACCTTGCCACATCTCGCATTGATGTGCCATCCTGGATGAGCTGCACTACCTGAGCCGCTTGTGTGGGTTGTAGACTCCGTCTCATGCTACCACTAGAGTGAAAGCACCGGCAGCATTCAAAAGTGACCAAACCATCAGCCAGAAAGCATAGGAACTGAGAAGTGGTCTGTGGTCACCACCTGCAGAACCACTCCTTTATTGGGGATGTCTTGCTACCTGCCTCTGCTTTCCACCTGTTGTCTATTCCATTTGCACAACAGCATGTGAAATGGATTGTCAATCAATGTTGCTACCTAAGTGGACAATTTGATTTCACAGAAGTGTGATTGACTTGGAGTTACATTGTGTTGTTTAAGTGTTCCCTTTATTTTTTTGAGCAGTGTATATATGCAGTATTACATCATTAAAAATATTATACTATTATTTTACATTATTATTTTATTTTGTATAGTTTTGATTCTGCCTTTATTATTTTTACAGGCGGCTTTCAACCTAAGGCAGAACTAGAACTCACCGTCTCCTGGTGATTGGCCCAAAGTCACCCAGCCAGTTTTCATGCCTTAGGCGGGACTAGAACTCCCCGTCTCCTAGTTTTGGGCCTCCTGCCATAACCAGTAGATCAAACTGGCTCTCATGGCCAATTCTGTGCCTCAATCCCACTAGCGTGAGAGACAGGAATCCTCAGGCTGGTGGGTTTGCTCCTTTATAGTAGCATCCCCCAAATCTCTGGGCAGCGTACAATATAATCAATATGTAAACAATGTATAACCTTAACTGAAAATCAGCAATAATTTCCTCCTTTTTTTTTGCAGACCCCGGACAGTGGAGCCAATCCAGGTTTACCCTCCATTTCTGACACCAGTTCAGCATCTAACATCAGAGCGGCTGTCAGAGGAGACGGAGCGATTGCATCTCCAGATCCGTATCCTGTCGAAGTGTCTGAATCCGTCCCGGGCCCCGTGGAAGAGAGACCGCTTCACTCCCTAAGAATTTCAAACTCGGCTGCAGGTAGCATGGAGAAGAACTGGGACGGACGCCAGCACCACCCAGTGACGGTGAAAAACGGGTGTTTTGGGAACCCGCGCCGCCCAGAGGATAGTGGAACTGGTTCAGCACTGCCCACCGGCGCTTGTGATAATCAGCCAGAAGAGGATTATTACTCGAGCGATAGTGTCCCGTTCGCTTTGACCAATCCGAGAGAGGATTCGGCGACCGATCGGAAGATCCATGTTCTCCGAGGCGATCGAAAGCAGGAAAATCCGCCCGTTGTGCCCAGTCTACAAACTCGCTTGGATGCCCCGAGGAAAAATTTCCCAGGTGAACAGCTGAGTGCAGACTCCAAAGAGGAAGTTCACATAAGCCTCCCGCGCAAGTGTTGAGGGTGTCCTGTCTTGATTCGAACAACCAGGTTGCCCCAATGTTGTTGGCCTACATCAGCGGTCCCCAACTTTTCTGGCTTGGCGGCCTGCCGGGGGGGGCGGGGAACAAGAGAGGATAGTTCCATGTGGGTGGCAGGTGGGCACGGGTGAACGCGCACAACTCCATTTTGTGTGAGCGGTAGGCACACCGCCATAGCTTGTACAGTCCGGTTGTGGCCCGCTGGCGGCTGATGGAGCTGGCTGCAGAGTTGGGCAGTAGTGAGAAGGTTGAGGGAGAACCCGGGCCCGTCCTGGAGATGGAAGAAGGCTCGGGTGAGGGCTCTGCATCGGAGGCAGGGATGGGGCCAGGGCAGGCCTGGCAGTCATCTGCTGCCTTTGGGCTCAGACAGCAGTGAGGCAAGGGAGCTTCTGGATCCGGTTCCCAGCCTGCACATGCACAGAGCTGCCAAAGGGAAGGCACAGTTAAGAACTCAGGGTTGACGTGGGAGTGGACAATGAATGTCCCCTTCCATCAGGATTAAAAGAGGAGTAAAAATGGAGGGTGTTTTTTTTTGCAGGAAACAACTCGCTCATTCGTTCGTCCGTTCATTCCAGCCTTGTGCAGATTTGTCTGTATAACTCAGCCCTTCCCTGTCAGCACTGAGCGTGGAACTATTTACCGGGCAGCGTTCCAGGATCGATAAAGTCCTGAGCTCATTAGTCGACCTTCACAAGACTGTTTGCCAAGCTGTTGGCTGACTGTGAATGAAATAAATTCACATTCGTGTAACAAAAGAGGTTTTTTTTTTCCCCCTGGGATTCAGAATTAATGTAGTGCTTTTTGGGGAGGCTTAGGACAGAACACCGGTTCCGAACAGGCCACGGCCTGGCAGTGTGCAACAGCCCATAGGTTGCGGACTCCTGCCCTACATGCTTGCAAGTAGTCACAGTCCTTGACTTACAACTGCAATTGAGACCAGAATTTCAGTTCCTGTGCCAGGCGCAGCTTAAGGAAATTGTGTCCAATTTTACAACTTTTAATTCCTCAATACATGCCAGGTCGCCAAGTGACCGTGAGGATGTTGCAACGGTTGTCAGCCTGGAAAACCGGTCTTAAGTCATTTTTTTTCCAGTCGGTTGTTAAGTTTGAACATTCACTAAGCGAAGAGTGGTTAAGTCGAGGAGGATAACCTGTGGTTGTTTGTGCTAAATGTAGTGCTACAGTGAGTTCGATCCTAGGAAGAGGCTAATATTTGGAATAGACTCTCCTGCTCGAGCGGCGGGTTGGACTAGATGACCGAGGTCCGTTCCAAGTCTGTTACTCGATGTTTGTTTAGTGTCACGCTGTTCAACGGCTCGGAAAACGCACGACTTGTAGTTGTGTCACTGGTGCGCAACTAAATTGTGCTGATGTTGTTTCCGTGCAGCTTCTCGGGGGTCACCCGAAAACCAGCCGCAGCTCTTTAGAGATCCTCCAGCGAACGGTGCCCAGCCGTCCCTTAAGCCTCTGCTTCCGGTCGCCGACCCTGAACGTCGTCTGCCTTCGCATTCTTCCGTCGAAAGAAAATTGCCCAAGCCTCGTAGCGATGTTTCAGCCGCTGGAGGCGATGGTCCCTCGCGTGACGTTAAGCTTCCCGTGGAAGAGAAAATGGAAGAAACCACCGGAACGGGTGGCTTGGCAGGGAGGTCGGAGTGGGTAAGTTTGGGAGGAAGAAACGGGGGGGAGGGATGATGGAAACTGAGGCTGCCCCGGAACAGGAAGGGGGAGACCTGCAGGAAGGTCAATACCGGGATGTAGGAAGCGACGGGCAGTCTTCGCCTCTCAGCCGCTTGGTTAGTGACGGTTCCAAGTTAGAACTGCTCTGATAAAATGTGGCAACCCCTTCATGGTCATGAAGTCAAAATTTGGGCCCTTGACAACCAGCATGTATTTTGCAATGGTTGTGGTGTTCCCAGGTCATGTGGTCACTATTTGCAACCTTCCCAGGCAGCTTCCAACAACCAAAGTCAATGGTGGACGCTGAATCCACTTAACAATTGCACGATTCACTTAACGATTGCGATGATTCACAATAACACGTCAAGGCTCCAACAATCCACCCCCATTCAATTCATAAATCTCTAGTCGCATCTCTCAGAGTTAAAAAAAAATGATTTATTAGGAGTAACCATGTCGGTGTTCCCTGGTTGCAGCTGACTCTAAGACACATCACTCATTTCCCCCTTGACCCTGGTCTTCCCCCCACCCCCTGGATGTATATTCTCCAATGGGACACATCCGTAGCCAAGAGTCATCAATCATGCTCTCCAGTAATAATCTTGCGCGCCAACAGCTTTGGCTGCCATGGCGATTATCTGAAGCATTTAAGGAATGCACTGCTTTCTCCCACTCCCTTTCTGCTGGTAACTAAAAAGACCAAAGTATGTTTTTTTTTAGTTGACATAACCATTGCAGAACAAGGTCCTAAAATTCATTGCTTCCTGATAGCTAGACCAGAGTCACCCAGCTGGCTTTCATGCCTAAGGCAGGACTAGAACTCACCATCTCCTGCTTTGTAGACCCTGACTTTAACCACTAGACCAAGCTGGTTAATATTTGTGGTCCATCTGTTGAGCTGTTTAACATCCTCTTGGCCAATTTCAGTACAATGGATGTTTACTCAGATAGCCGTATTTATTTACGGTCTTAGATTTCTCTCCCACTTTTACCGCTTAATGAAAGAATCTCGTCCCTTGTTGCAAGAATCCTGTAAGGCGGATGAATTAGCCTGGGCAGTCCCAAAGGTGCTTTGTCAAAAGGCAAGCCGGTCTTTCTTTTTTCTTGAAGAGGTTTCGCTTCTCATCTGAGAAGCTTCTTCAGTTCTAAATAAATGGTGGAGGATGGAAGGATTTCTGTTCCTTGCTGTCGTCTTTCCATTCTTCACCGTTTAGCTAGAACAGGGGTGTCAAAGTTCATTGAGGGCCACATCAGGGCTGTGGTTGACCTCGGGGGGGCAAGGGGGCGTGGCCAACTTGGAGGGCGTGGCCAGCTTGATGCCACTCTCGAAACTGCGACGGGGCCAGCCCCTTACATTTTCCAGGACAGCCCCACAGGCCGGATCCAACCGCATCGCGAGCCAGATTTGGTCCGCAGGCCTTGAGTTTGACACCCTCTGAGTTAGAACCAAAGAAGCTTCTTGGATGAGGAGCGAAATGTTTATAAGGGAAAACAACCCCCCTTTGCAGAGGTGGTATTCAGCCGGTTCGGATCGCTGCTGGAGAACCGGGAGCGGAAATTTTGAGTAGTTGGGAGAACCGGCAAATCCCACCCTTGACTGGCCCCGCCAACCCCATCTCTTCTCTGCCTCCCATCGAGTCCCGGCTGATCGGCTGGGTCTCCTTTGGTTGCCCTGCGTAGGAGAACGGAGCTGGAAAGCAGGTCAGTGGGGAGGAGGAGGGAAGGGGGATTTTGCAGTATATCCTTCCCCTGACACGCCCACCAAGCCACACTCACAGAACCGGTAGTAAAAAAAAAATTTGAATACCACCACTGCCCGGTTGCCTTTTGAAAAAGCATCGTTGGGACCACCATGACCTGATGACGGAGAATCTCCACAGAGAATGATTAGCGTGGGCGTTTATTTCACCTCTTTGTCATGTGTCCCTTAGGGGATGGAGCCTCGGTCTTCAGCTGTTAGGGACCGCAAGAGAGACGGCCGCATCTTTGACAGCAACTGTAGTGAGGACGATCTGCCTCCCAAACCAGGGATTCTGTCTTCAGATCTTGCCGCAGAGCCCAGCAAGCTCAGCTCAGGTGATGCTGGAGAGACCCCCGGTATGTATTCCGGGTCATCAGAAAGATTACGCATGAGCACGAGCGGCAGCGACCCCATTTTGATAAGTGAAAACAGCTCAGCCGGCCATTCCATCGCGAGCATCACAGGGGCGAGCGTTGCTGTTGGCGCTACTCTTCCACCCGAGGTTGGCACTGATGAAGAAGACACGTCCTTCAGGAGTCACCACCTGCTCGTGGAGAAGAATCCAAGTATGGATCTCATGGAGGTTCCTAAGGACGGGGCCTCTTCGCGACGTTCCCCGAGGGCGTTCCCAGATTCAACCTCTGACGGTCAACCATCGAACGAAGCCAAGGACCCCCAGGCGGGCCCTTCCCTCCCAGAGAAGAAAGTTGAGTTTGAGGAAGCGGCCACTTCAGGTGACTTTCGGATGGTTGTGCTGGGATTGGCTCTGGCGGCTCTGGCAAGCGCTGCTTTTGTGCTGTATAAGAAGAAATAAGCACCGGAGTGACCGATCGGTTGTTGACCGAGCTGAAATTCACACCCAGCCGCCGTCTCTTCCTACCGTTGCTTGATCCTCTACGGAAAGGAAGCACAAGGGAACTTGCTTTCTGTAGATCGCTTTCTTCCACCGATGCGTGATACTCCCGCAAGCGTTGAACTCTTATCCTCACAACATGCCTTGCTGATTATCTCTAGTCTGCCTTTGGGTCACTAATGACGTCTTTTGATGCAGGTTTATTTTAGATCGGTCCGTTCAGTGGCCTATTCCCCCCCCCCCTCCAAATAGCCAAGCAGATCAGATCTAGGACTTTTCTCAGAAATTACAGGAAAACAGAAATCTGGACATCAAAGCAAAATCCACATAGTTGGTGAGGGAATTGCAGGATCTCGGCGGAGTTTCATTTTCTAAAAAAAAGGTCATATCGCAAAGAATACACTGGCTGACGTGGAGGAGTGACCGGCTTCCTGATTCCAGTGGGTAAGGTCTCTTTGATGTGGCTTAGAAAAGAAAAATTTAGCAAGCAACCTCTTCACTATGTCCTGAATACAACGTTCTTTGGCTACGCGATATGTTGTTGCTGTATCCTTAGAAACGAGCAGCCAGTTCTTCAGCCCGTTTTTTTTTTTCTGGAATTAACATCCGCTTAGGGAATTTAGGGGAAAGCAGTGGACTTCACCGAACTGTTTGGGAATCCTCGTTCTTCCTTTTCTGTTTCTTGGAAAGGAGAAGCATTAGAATTTCATTCTACGATTATTACAGGAACACCCTGTTTGCTCCCGGCCATTAAATGACACGTAGTCCTCGACTTAAGGACTGTAATGAAAGATGATAGATTGGGGTTAGTTTGCTTGCAGCGTTCCTGTGGTCGAACGGTCATAAGTAGGGGTGGGCTTCAAATAGTTTAACAATCGGTTCTCTAACTGGTTGCTGAGCGGGCATGGGCATGGCCTAGTCCACCTCCTGCACCACCCTGGGAGCAAAAATGAGCCACGGGGGAAAGGCCATTTTCGCCCTCCCCGGGCTCCAAAGGTTTTCCTCGAGCTTCCAGGAGGGCGTAAATGGCCTCCCCAGGCTCTGGAGGCTCTCTGGGCCTTCTGGAGCTTCCAAGAGGCCTGTTTTTCACCCTCCCTGGGCTCCAAAGGTTTTCCTTGAGCTTCCAGGAGGGCGTAAATGGCCTCCCCAGGCTCTGGAGGCTCTCTGGGCCTTCTGGAGCTTCCAAGAGGCCTGTTTTTCACCCTCCATGAGCCTCTGCATGGGCCCTGCATTTACTCGCGATCCAAAACAGACCAAGGCAGGGGAGGGGCAGGGTATGGTGAGTGGGGCCAGCTGGGTTTTTTTTTTGCTGAACTGGCCATAAAATTAACAACCGGTTCACCTGAACCGGTGTGAACCGGTAGCAGCCCACCCACCCCCGGTCATAAGGCGAGGACTACCTGGTACCCAAGGTGACCAGATTCCACCCTGCTGACAATTTGGGAAGACATGAAGGCTTCGTTGCTTGCCTTTGCTTAATGAGCAAGTTTTCCTAAAAACGAGAAGCAGGCTGGCTGGGAAATTCTGGCAACTGAAAAGCCAGAGATTGCTAAGTTGAAGAAACACTGATTCAATGTGTTATGTGTACCCATATATACTATATTAACTCCTGTCTCCTCAGGAGTTAATCCGGGTGTGTCCATTCACACGACTTTGTATATGTGTTGATTCAAATTGTGGTTCCTTTTTTTTAAAAAAAGTAGCGTTTTCTTTCTCCTTCTGACAGATAGTCAACCCAAGTTCTAGTTTTCTTACATTCTTTCTTTCCAACGTTCTGTAACGTTGGGAAAATTAAAGCACCGAAACTTCCGAATCGAATAACTTTCTTTCCGGTCATTAACCAGAAGAAAGAACGAAGGGGAAGGAGTGGGGGGGAATAGTTTTAAACTATCCAGGACATTCAAAAATAAATGAGGAGTGATGCATAGAAAATATGCTAAAAAAGCTTCATTCTTATTAGCTTAAAACTAAGCTAAACTCTAGAATTATAGATCCTCTGGCAAAATGATAGAGCCCTTGACAAAACTGAGAATTCCTATTAGTGTTCCTTCCCATCCTTTCCGGTATACCTGCTCACCAAACTGGTCTTTCATGTGCTGATTAAAAAAAAAGTTATTGGTTGAAAAATGTGTCGTTATTTCATTCATCCCAGTTTAATTTCCAGGTTGTTTATTTTGTTTGTGACAACAGGCGGTTGTATTGATGAATTTTGGATGGGTGGGAGCCATGGAATCTCCAATGGTACAGATATATACATAGTGTGTGTGTGTGTGTGTGTGTGTATGTATGTATGTATGTGTGTGTGTGTGTGTGTGTGTATATATATATATATATATATAT